ATAGACAAGTTTATGGGCTTGTTTTGTACTGTCTCTGAAAAAAAACACCAAATAGAGGGCAGCAGATTATTCCACAATCGTGCAGCCGATGATGGAAAGGAATGATTATTAATGTGGTAATGGAACATTAGTATACAAGTTGTATGGTCAATAAAAATCAAATTAATCAATTGATTTCATACATAGATTATATATATTCATCATTCTAAAGGGTAAAAAACCTAATTATGGACCTATTAATTTCGCATTAGTGGTGTTTTATATTGAAAACTTTCTGACAGGTGCTAAAGTAAAGACAGCCCACGTAATTTCTTGAGTACCATAATGATATATTCTTAGAACGTTATCAACTCACAGTCATGTCCTACTGACTTTACGTCTGTTAACATGCACAGTCAATCATAGGCTTCCAATTTATCAGTTGAAGCATACTGATTAATATCTGATCATATCCACATTACCGGTAATGTCAGCAGCATCATCTGTACGGGTTTTAAACTTTCACATTCTTTTTTTATTTAAAAATAATTGTATAAATCATCTATCCAAAATGTGAGTCTCACATGCAAACAGTTCATTCTCGCATGCAATCAGCTAAGTCTTACATCCAAACAGTTCAGCTTCACATCCAAACAGCCCAATCTCACATCTAAACAGCTCAGTCTCACACCAAAACAGTCTGTCTCACATGCAAAAAGTTTAGTCTGGCATGCAGACAGCTGAGTCTCACAAACAAACAGCTCAGCTTCACATGCAATCAGCTCAGTCTCACATCCAAACAGTTCAGCTTCACATCCAAACAGCCCAATCTCACATCTAAACAGCTCAGTCTCACACCAAAACAGTCTGTCTCACATGCAAAAAGTTTAGTCTTGCATGCAGACAGCTGAGTCTCACAAACAAACAGCTCAGCCTCACATGCAATCAGCTCAGTCTTACATCCAAACAGTTCAGCTTCACATCCAAACAGCCCAATGTCCCATCTACACAGCTCATAGTGTCACACCAAAACAGTCTGTCACATGCAAAAAGTTCAGCCTTACACGCAGACAGCTGAGTCTCATACACAAACAGCTTAGCCTCACATCCAAAGTCTCGCATGCAGTTTCATTTTCATTAGCAAGTATGGGGAAGATGGAATTTATGATCTAAAAACTAAAACCTGATGCAACATTGCTTATAGGAAGTAGTTCTATCTGTTTTGTTTCTCTCCATCCAGAATCCAGAAGTTGAAATAGGTACCTGGTAGGGTTAAATGCCAAAATGTGCTGATCTAACTGCTGCAACGTTGTAGAATACTCCCCCAGGGAGCTTGCGTTTATGTTCCATAGGCGTTTAATCCAATGACCGGGGTACTGATAATGTGAAGTGCATAGAGGGCTTAACAATATGTGCTATATAAGTCTACCATTATTATTATTACTAATTCCATTTATAAGGATGTGTATAGAACTTTTCTCTTCACATCGTTTTTACAATTAGATGCAAGATCACAATTTTGCAAGGCAGGCAGCCGAGAATAGAATTTGTTCCAATTTGTCAGTTAGTCTGGCATTTGACATTAGGTTAACTTGCAGCCTTCAATAAAGATACATAGTATCATAGAGGTGCAAAGTCCAAATATCTGGTTAGTATAACAAAATTTAAATTAAGTGCCAGTGCCACATTTTAATATTATAATTAAGGATGACCACACAATCATCATTATATCTATTTTAAAGCCATGATTACATATAATGATAAATTTTACTCCATGAAAATTTCACTTTATAATAAACTCCACTGATGCACTATGATCTTTTACTGTACTTTACATTCTGAGACCACATGAGAACACAACATTACTACGCTAATTTCTACAATCGGAATTCTGTTTGTGTAAGGAGAAAAACAAACTAAAAGGGCACCTTGGCTAATAAGTCAAAGCAAGAAGTACCACCGATGAACTATATTACATGTATATATTACATGTTACTGACAGAGTATGACAGAGTATAAGCACTATAAGCACGCTGTTATGAAAAGTGGTATTTGCAAGATACAAGGTTAAAAGTACTTTTATTTAGCGGAAGCTTCAGTGTTACGATGAAACAGTAAAATTATTAACATAAATTTATAAGGTAGAATATGTTTACTGTTTTTTTTTCTTTTCTTTTCATTTCATTTTTTCATTATTAAAGCCACCAAGATAATCATGTACTATATACACATGATGAAAAATATAAAGAAATTCAATTATCCTGCAGTCATGTCATGTGACTATATGGAGTAGTCACATGACAAGTACCGGTAACGTTAAATCAGTTCATAGAATGCAGCTGTCGTGATGACATTGAACACTCTACCAAGAGCAAAAATCTATGGACTCTGAAAAAGCAAGTCTAATTATTATACAAAAAGACAGAGCCTTGTATCAGTCTACTACACTCTATATTTATTAAATTTGTTATTTTTAATTGTTTTTAACATATTTGTTGGATGTTGTAAGTGGCAAAATTCCAAAAAAAAAGTTATTACTCAAACTGAAAAAAAAAAAAAAAAAATTAAAAACTAT